TCAGGTACAAAATGTTGAAAGCAGAAAAGCTAAAAAGAATAGGCTTCAAAAGATATAGCATCTGGAGTCTTAAAGGCTTGAAGATAACCAAGTGGCCATCTAGCTGAGAAGAAACAAAGTCCACATGGAAGAAGCACATCAGCTTTTGAGATCATAAGGTGTCAATGGGATCAGGTATCAGGCATCAAAGACCCAGAACAAAAAATCATATCATTGTGAATGAGGGGGAGTGCGGGAGTGGAGACTCTAAGCCCATCTGTAGGCAGTTGGACATCCCCTTACAGAAGGGTCACAAGGAAGAGACCAGCCAGTCAGGGTGCAGTATAGCACAGAGGAAACATATAACTTTCCTCTAGCTCTTCAATGCTTCCTACCCACTATCACTACCAATTCTACCTTACAAATCCAGCAAGTGCACAGCATGTACAGATCAGAGCTGGCAAGACAGGGAATCCAGGATAGACAAACCCCTCAGGACCAATAATGAGAGTAGTGATACCAGGAAGGTAAAGGGAAAGTGGGAAGGGAAAGAGGGAACTGATCACAGTGATCTACATATAACACCCTCCAAGGGGGACAGATAACAGAAAAGTGGGTGAAGGGAGACACCGGCCAGTGTAAGACATGAAAAAAAAAATTTTATAAATTATCAAGGGTTCATGAGGGAGGGAGGGTGGGAGAGGGAGGGAAAAAATGAGCCAATACCAAGGGCTCAAGTAGAAATAAAATGTTTTCAAAATGACGATGGCAACAAATGTACAAAGGTGCTTGACACAATGGATGAATGGATTGTGATAAGAGCTGTACAAGCCCACAATAAAAAGATTTTTAAAAATCTACAGAAAGATTAAGAAATCGGATTGCATCAGGCACACATAGAATCATATATATACATTTATATGATATATGTGTGTGTGGTTTAAAATCAAATCAAGTAATTGATCCAATATCTAACACTTAGTAAGCTTAACATAAACATCTGCATTTAGATAAGACAGAACTAGGGTTTTAGTTAATCACGCATAATTAGGATTTGCTAGCTTTGGTAAGCATTGGCTCAAAACAACCTGCCACTGCCCAGGAGACTGATGAGACTGAGTCTTGCAAAACCTCAGAAACACTATACAGAGTCCCCGTGACTCAGAACCAACTCAATGGCAGTGGGTTTGGTGTCCTTTACCTGTACATCTGAAATCCCAGACCTTGGAAAACTGAGGATTCTGTTGGGACCAGAATTCATTTGGGAGTAAAGCCTAGTCTGAAATAATTTGAGACCATTATATTTCTGTAGCAAAATATCTGAAAAACATGACTGTTTTTAAAATAAAATGCTGATTTAAAAATATATATAGCATATAGACTACATCACTTTCCTCAAATCTGAAAAACTCTTAATCTTGCAAGAATTCTACTTCAACCATTAGAAAAAAGGCTTTGGAATGATCTAAGTGAAAAATAGAACCTAATTACCAAAAAGTAAAGGAAAGTTTGGTCAAAATCATGGAAGCACTTAGTTGTGAATGAAATAAAAATAACCAAAAGCTCAGAGACTACGTGGAATATTCAGAAGAATGTTAAAATATCTTGTGTCTACGAAAGTCCTAAAGCATGTGAGACCAAAAACCAAACTCACTAACATTCAGTCTGTGCCAACTCAGAGCAATCCTAAAGAGCAGGGTAGACCTGGCCCTGTGAACTTCTGAGACTGTACCTCTTCACAGGAGGAGAAAGCCCTTAAAGAGACGCACACCTTGCAATTAACTGCCCAACGTGTAACAACTCCACTACCAGAGGTCCAGTACACAAACATGTGAGACATTAGACAAGTATCTGCTGAATAAACCAATGAGATATTATCCAGATACAAATCTTGTATCCTCAGTTGACCTTGCTTTTCTTTTTTTTTTTAATCATTTTATTAGGGGCTCATCAAAACCCATACATATATCAATTTTGTAAAGCACATTTGTACATTCATTACCCTCATCATTCTCAAAATATTTACCTCCACTTAAACCCCTGGCATCAGCTCATTTCCCCCCCCTCCCCGCTCCCCCTCCCTCATGAACCCTTGATAATTTATAAATTATTATTTTGTCATATCTTGCCCTGTCCGACATCTCCCTTCACCCACTTTCCTGTTGTCCATCCCCCAGGGAGGAGGTTATACGTAGATCCTTGTAATCAGTTCTCCCTTTCCACCCCACCCTCCCTCCACCCTCCTGGTATCACCACCGGTCCTGACGGGATCATCTGTCCTGGATTCCCTGTGTTTCCAGTTCCTATCTGTATCAGTGTACATCCTCTGGTCCAGCCAGATTTGTAAGGTAGAATTGGGATCATGATAGTGGGGGGCAGGGGGGGGAAGCAATTAGGAACTAGAGGAACATTGTATGTTTCATCATTGCTACACTGCACCCTGACTGGCTCGTCTGCTCATGGCAACCCTTCCATAAGAGGATGTCCAATTGCCTACAGATGTGCACTCCCCCTCATTCACAATCATATGATTTTTTGTTCTGATGATGCCTGATATCGTATCCCTTCGACACCTTGTGATCATACAGGCTGATGTGCTTCTTCCCTGTGGGCTTTGTTGCTTCTGAGCTAGATGGCCGCTTGTTTATCTTCAAGCCTTTAAGGACCCAGATGCTATATCTTTTGATAGCCGGGCACCATCAGCTTTCTTCGCCACATTAACGTTTCCTTCCGCATCCTAGCTATCTAGAAACTCACCAACCACTCTATTCGGCTGCTTCTATGACCCTGCTCTTAAAACTTCATCTATGGAAATACTTGTTCCACTAACACCAGCTGTTAAATCCTATCCATTTTCAAAGACATAGATATAACACCTGTATCTTCTAAAAGGCTTTCCCTAATTTTCTTCTACTGAGAGTTAGCGTCTCTTCTGTGCATGAAGAGTATGTGATATAGCATAGTGTGCTCTAATATAGCACAGATCATACTTCATTACTCTGTGCATTTATAATCCAAACAGTATTGAATTGAATCTGATTTGGTCGAAATGATGAAAAACTAACTAATTCTGAATTCGGACACACCTACTTCTCCCTTATAAATTATCTCATGACCTGACATTTTTCATTTAAAATAATAGTAAAAATATCTATTATCAACTATTTTTCTCATTAATCTGTACAATCATAAGTTATGCTGTAGTGCAAGATAAGTAATACTGGCTCTCTTGGTTAATTAAGGTTTTGTGTGTCAACTTGCCCGGGCCATGATTCTCATGGACGTTATGTAATATGATTGGGCATTTACGTAATATAAAATTTGGCAATAATGTACTGATGAGGTCTCCCTCCATTTTGTGAGTTGATGTGGTCATCCTCACTTTTTCAAAACACCAATTTTTGCCTAACAACCTGGTCTTGAGAACCTAACAATGCCAGTAAGTGAGGAGTTGATGTATTTAAAGGAAATATTAATAGGAGGGCAGAAACCACTGTTTGCTTTTGTCGGTGTATCTTCAGTGCAAACCCAGTACTTAAGAAAGAGAAACATTTGTACACATGAACAAATGTCTGACCTGAGGAGGGAAAATTCCTAAAATGATACACGCAAAACAATTCTACAATTGGTAAAGGTATAACATGCTGCAGAAGACACAGACTTATTGCCTTTGTTGAGGAAAGAGAGCTCCACAAATGTAAACAGAAGATCTTTCTATTAACCACTGTGACCTGGGCATGATAGAGGATGTTTCATAAACCAGTTTCTTCTCTCTGTATTTGGACCTACCAGATGGCAATTAATGATGTCAGAAATATTACAGGAAGACTTTCTTCAGTGAGATTTCCAAAATAGTTGAATTCCTAAATAGTTGTTAAAATTCCCTCCATCTCTTGCCTAGGCCGGAGGTGTCGGCCATGGGCGAAGCCATCAAGATGCACTTTATGTTTAGACTCCTGGTGTCTCTGCCTCGCCCGTGTTTGTTTTGACTCTGCTACATTAGAGCCTCCCACCACTTGTGACAGGTCCCCACAGGTCACAGCAAACAGGCTCCCGGCCCCACAGTGCATGCCCAGCCGCCGAGGGTGCCATGCCGCTGCCTTCTGTTTCCGTCTGGTTGGTTCCTTTTTCTTTATTAAGAAAAAAATAAAAGCGAAGTGGACTGAAAAAAAAAATTCCCTCCATCTCATAGAAGTAAATGTTAAGAGGTACACTCTTAATGTGATGCTTTAGCCATCTTACTAGAACTTTATAATACTACATGACTTAACTATATTAATACTAAATATCTTAACTACAAGGTACATTCTCATTTCATCCATCATTTCATCCTTTAAAAATGTAAGTGAAAATTTTTAATGAATATAAAGGACTCTTAAATTGACTACTGAACATTTATCTTCTGTTAAAAACAGAAAAATTATCATGTTGACTAAAATAAGAATACTCCTAACATTGTAAACAGTATTATGCCTCCGAACCCAAACCACATGCTGATGCATAAGAAAAGGTTTAAAATATTTTGTCTTAGATTTACATGATCGGAAATCATGGCAATATAGCATTATTGTTTTTTTAAAATCTTTCTAGCCAACGTTCAAACAACAAGCAAATCTCAGTATGTGTGGTTCTAAGGTCTTGTTGCTAGTAAATCCTCGCGAAGGATTTGAACCACTAACTTCCAGTCTGTCTTTCCCCTGGGGATGACCTCAGAGCACGACATCTTCTGAGTCAAAGGTTGAAGTAATGAGTGTGCTTATTAAAATGTGAGCACAAAAGACCTTCATTGTATGTCTTACATTAAAAGGTGTTAAACCATCACTTCAGGATGCATGTCAACAAAAGATAATAATTTATTAAGCACTCTATGTTTTAGGAATTCAACTACACAAAAGTAGCCCCTTCCTCCGACGTAATCACGGCTTTCGATCACTTTCTTATTATTTCACTACTTCATGATATTGAAGTCGTTCTTCATGTTAAAGCCCTCAGCTTGTTCCCAATACATGCCCCACACAAACCTCGTCTCCTTCCTGAGGCCTCATCAGGGACACACGGTCATACTGCCGCCGTAACAAAGCCCAGAGTGCATCGAGACGCCCCTGCAGAGAAAGGTGATTTGTCAGTTCCCATGGGATAGACTGGCCTTCCATTTACTGAATAAATGGCGAACTGAAACAAAGAAGCTGAAGGTTTACTCCCTTACCGGCGTCCTTTTTACCCTGAACTAAAATAACTGAAGAAGTACTGGGAGGTTCTCATCATCAATGAAGTATTCAGCTGTTCACATTTAAGATGTATGGCTGCTATTGGATCAAACTTCACTTCTGTTCAATCTTCTTTTCCCATCTTTTTAAATTCCAATTTATTTGTCTCTGTGAATCTTTTTTACTCCCTTGCTGTAATATTTTCTGTTGAGAAACTGCCCTAAGGTTGAGTTTGGTGTTCTCCAAGACGTCCAGTGCACATGAAAACTCATTCCAGACTTTGGGGAAGCGATTTGGTGTTATCTATGAAGAGCTTTAAGAAGCCCCAGTCCTCTTGGGCTCCGTACTTTCATTTATTTTACTATAGACATTTTAAAAATCCACTACGCAATATTGTACTACTATTTTGACTACTACTATCCAAACTTTTATCAAAGTTTTGTTTTTAAAAAATATATAGTTATGAATGTTTACATAATTCATCCAGTTCTCTATATTGTAAGTCTTATTCTTGGATCAAGTAAATTATAGATCTGTTCTCTTGTACCACACTTACTTTGACTCCCTGTTAAATTGTCTGTTTTTTTTTATTGTACTTTGACATATTGCCTGTGGCCTGAATTGAGGTACCAAACAATTAGATATAACAGTCAAAGATTTTAGGGAGGAGATTTTCTTTCATAGGTCTTCAGAGTAACAACCTTGAAGTATGCTTTTATCTCACAAAACTAAGAATTTGATAACTGATAGCATACTTTCCACTTTGCCATGGTGCAACTATTAAATTTTGTAATGTTTATTTATAGAATTATTTATGTAATATTTCATTTTTAATTAAATAAATAACAACCCAAATGATATTCACCATGTGTTACTTGTAAGTTTGCTATTGGAAATTATATGTCAAAAAAATAAGTTAATTATGTATGGACACACAATTTAATATCATTTATCCATTGCAAGAGAAGGTAAAAAGGGACATAATAACATGAGTAAGTGCTTCCCTATACAGTAGACTCAATATGTGAAAAAGTAGAATAAACGAATCCTGTATGGAGTACGATCTCCACTATCAAGACTATAGTGAAGGACATATTAATTGCATTGTGAGATGATGAATACACGTTTTTCATTCCTTCGTGAATAAAAATAAATGTTTTAATAATTATAGTTAATGTTTTAATGTAACCAAGTATTTGTCATATTGTCTTATTCAAGTAATGATCATATTATCATCATTAAATGAAAAAGAGTGGGGAATGCACTAAGCCACAGGTAACAAATTTCAATAAAGTCCATTCCTGATAGAAAACGACCTATAGTTGTAAGTGCGGTCTTCATCCAGATAGCAAGGGAAGGAATCTAGAAAGTTATCATTTCTACCAAAGGTTTATGTCAAATTGCACAAAATTGAGACAAGTACCTTAATTGGGGTGTACCACTTTGTCTGAGAAGGCTGGTGAAGTGGTTTGGACCTAGGTGGTCTTGGCCTGACCGGTTCCTCTTCTTCTTCAGGAATTGTGACCACAGCATTTTTGGCTTTTTCTAGTCTTGCCCCTTCCTCAGTAGATCCTTTATCTCCCCAACGGACCTTGAAAATAGAAGATAAGTAATACTGTCAGACATACACTATTCTAGAGGAGCAAACTCTTTATTTAGCTTATGGTCCTTTGTTCACTGTGTCAGAGTGAAAAGAAATGGACACTGTATACAAACACAAAATACATTCTGACTCAGGTGTTTTGGCATAGGGCTCTGCCCCAAAGGTTTTTTAGTGATTGGCATATTTAGAAGTAGACCACTACTCTTATTTTGAGGTACCTCTGGGTGAACTTTAGAAAAGCAAATGTTTATGTCATCAAGGAGTCATGGTAGCACAACACGTTGAGTACTGGGTCACTAAGCAGGGGGCTGGAAGACTCAGCAGGAGAAAGACAAGCCACTTAGCTTCCAAACAGATTTACAGCCTTGGAAACCCAATGGACAATTCTCCTCTATCCTATGGGGGGTCACTATGAATTGGAATCCCCTTGTATCCCAATGGGTTTGAGTTTGGGATTTTAGGATAGGAGGCTTAACCATTTGCACCACCTAAGGACTCCCTGGTGTCAGAGTGAGTTACGCTTTGGGCTGCTAAACACAGGTGAGGAGTTAGAGACCACCGTCTGCTCAGGAGGAAAACGATGAGGCTGTCTATGCCTGCCAAGAGTTATGGTCTCAGAAACTGACCGGAGCAGTTCTCCTCCGTCCTATCAGGTCACTACAAGTCAGGTGGCAGTTGTTTGTTTTGTTGATGAACTGCTGACTGGGTAATTACAAATTCTCCTTTTGCTATTTAATGTGTTTCTCACTACTCTGTACTTACTTAATACTGAGATCCTAGGGGGGAAAAGTCCTTCCATAAATATCTGGAATAAATTAAATTTGAAACAACTATTTTTCCAGAGTTTCAAATAAGGAGTTAATTTGTTTATATAGGAAAAATATTACAGTGTGCAATTCTGTCCACCAATTGGGTATGCTCCCTTACTAGGTAATCAAATAACCACCTACACCGATGATACGGGGAGAAACGGATGGTGAAATGATAATGATAAACATGAACACTTCTGAGCAACATGGTGAACATTTTATGGATCACCACAGCACAGTTTCCAACTCACTCGCTTTGGACACATCATTAGTTGGGATCAGCTGGTAAATAAAGATACATCGTAGGTGAAAGAAAAATTGCAGGCAGGGAAGAATGGCCCTTGGTGGGATGGGTAGGCATAATAGGAGCAGTACTGGCCTCAAACATGCTGGCAATTATGAATATGATGCAAAATGAAGTACTATTTTGTTTTCTCAAATGTAAGGTCACCATAAATTACATCTGAGTCAATTAAATGGCAGCTACCTATCTTCTGTCCTTATGCCCCAATTAATGCACACAATGAGATAGGTACTCTATTTATTTTCAGTGGAGGAAAGCAAGTCACTGAGAGCTTCACTATATACCGAAGCCATGCAGTCATGAAGTAGCTGATTTGGATCTGTGCCTAAACCATATGAAAGTTATTAAACAATGATTCATAACCTTGAATTTTACAAATACATTTTATACAAAGGACTTAATTGCTCCTTCCAAATTTTTCATCAAGTTCGATCAAGGCAAAAAGTATGATTTAAATATTTTGTCCTTGGAAATAGTCTTTTTGGCATGTGAATTTTTCACTGACAAATTTGAAAAGATTCTGCGTTGAAAAGAAGAACCCCAAAAGGACACTAACTTTAGAGAATTGCTTTTCCTGAAAGCCCCTAGCATTGAAAACAACAGTCTTATGACTCTTATCCTGCAAGGAACTGGAACGAGGGCAAACTGAACCAAACTTTTCATGTGTCATCACGTGCAAAAGAGTTGGCCCCTGGCTAAGAGCATTTTCCAATTACACAGTGTTTAGAAGGACTTATGAAAACCAAGGTCATTTCCAAAAACTACAAAGATAAGGCAATTGGACTATAAAAAGAACTGAGAAGGGCTAACTGGGACACATATGTGACTCATCCTATTTAAGTGACATCTATGAAGGAAAAAAATAATAATAATTAAATGTTCATTAAACCATTTTAATGCCTTGAGTCATTGGCAGAAATGCAAATGATCACTGTTCATAGACTTTTTCACAGCTTTTTGAAAAGATTTTTTGTAGATTTTTTTTCTCTTTTCTTTTGTTACTACATTTTTAAAATAGGCTTTCAATTTCAAGTAGGCCCTGTTGAGTCATTAAAATGTATCTTTATCTGTCAGTTTGATCAGTGGTACTTGACTGTTCTTTATGAGGTTGTTAAAATTGTTTTAAACACCATTAAACCTTTAGAGCTACAGTTACCTTCCTTTCCAGAGAAATTACCTTCTCTTTCAAATCGAAGGCCTTCATTCAAATACACTAAAACTTGTAAACTCTTTAGGTGCAGGAAAATCTAATTAAAAACAAAATGCACACCTTAGAATAATCAACCTTTTGAGATCAAAGCGCAGAATTTACCCAAGGACCCTGTTCAGGGCTATGAAAAGAGGAGGAGTAGAAACAGGAAAAGTAAGAAACAAGGGCTGGGGAGGTGCATGATGGTACACCGAAGGTATTGAAATGGGTGAGTTGGAAAAAGACATGTGAAATGTTGATGTGCTCTGTACACCTTCACCAGATACAACAATAGTAAGGTAGCAAAAACAAACCCTTTCAAGGCAAGATACATATCCTTAAAGTTGCAAAATCTCAATTTTAAGGGAAACGTCAATGAAAGGAGAAATGCAATTAGTAAACACATTCCGTTTGTAACCCAGAGAAGTAAATAAAAGTAGAAATGCATTTATATGTAGAAATAGTTTTAAATTAAATTTATTTAGAGATAATAGATTGAAATAAAGCCTATTGTATTATTATTTTAGCTACTACTGGTAACACTTTCAGATAATGAGCACGAAGTTAGATGAACTAGAGTTATCCGACACAGCAATTCTATGGATTTAACAGTCGATAGCAGTTCTATGGATTTAACAGTCAATAGACCACACTTAATAAAGCTAGAATTGCTAAGGACTTAGAGGGTAAATCATTAGTGTGAGTCCACAAGCTAATTTTTCTTTCATTACCATCATCACTACCACTAAACAATACAACATACATTTCTCACTAAATAAATCTCTAAATCTAAACTTAGAATCCATTTAACAGACTAAGTGATACTATATAGTTTTCATAAAACTCAAAGAAATTATATATACACATATGTATAAATTTGAATATATTTTTAATTTGACCATATTAAGAAAATTAAAATGTTGGATAAATAACAGGTATAAATAGCCAAAGACAGACTTAGATGAATTGCTGTATCTGGCCTTTTTTATTATGTAGAAGAAAAAAAAAAGCAAATGTTAAACTTGATAGTTCAATTACAATTGAGAGCTAAATGTTTCCAACTCTACCTGGCTTTCATTATTAAACAATAAACTCTGAGTACTTCCAGATCACATTTGGATGGCTATGGGGCTGTATCATAGAGGGGTAATTTCATTCTTGGGAAAAGAAGTAAGATCTGTTTCACGCTGAATGGGCAGACACGGATTTGTCACTAGGCATTGTGGATGAGTTGAAATCACCGCTGTTATTACCATCAGCTGAGCTACATACTTCCGTGAATTGCCATTATGATAGTGTTTAAATATTTAATTGACAGGAGTAAGAAAAATTAGGCAAATTTATATTCTACCTTAAAATAATCATAGTTATGATGATCCATTCTTTAACTCATATTTGCTCATATGTTTTTTGTACTTTTCCTCTACGCTGAGTTTCTTTTTGTTTGTTTAAAGAAAAACTTTCAAGGTGTGAGTAGTCATGCTTTAATTTAATTCACATTTTTACTTTCCCATCTCACACTAGCCGGCAATCTGGTCTTTCCCAAAGCCACTAGAGACAGCTAAATTACCCTCTTCTTTAAGAATTTATATTTTTCACTCCAAATTCATACTAACAAAATTTTACTGACACCTAATTCCCAACTTCAGTGAATATATTCTAAATTAATAGGTCTTTCTCAGTCATAGTTCATACATTTAGTTTAATTTTTTTAAATCATGTTATTGGGAGCTCTTACAGATATCATAACACTCCATAGTTCAATCACATCAAGCAGTATTGTATAATTGCTACCACAATATTTCAAAACATTTTCATTTTTCTTGAACTCCTTGATAACAGCTCCCCTTTGTCACCTCCCCCCCCCCTCCTTATCCCCTAGGAACCCTTCTTCTGGCTTTGTTTTTGTTTTCTATAACCGTTTGGTTTGGGTTTGTTTTCTGCCATATCTTATACAGCAGTCCCTCTCGGAAGGACCACAGGGAAGGGATGGTAAATCCAGAGGCAGTATGGTACTGATAGACCACATAACTATCCTCTAGTTCTTTAATACTTCCTCCCCATACTATTGTGGTTTTTATTTGTTTTACCTCGTTAAGAATGTTAGATTTGCATACGTTCACTTGTATGTTGAAGATGGTTCAGCACATGAAAGTCAGAAACTCCTATTACTATTTCTGAAGGGTTATCTAATAGGAGTAACGGTTCCCTGAGGGTACAGGAAGAAAGCAGGTGGAAGAGGGGGGAGGGGAGAGCTGATAGCATTGATGATTGTATAATTCCACTCAATGGGACTGAATAACAGAATTGCATGTGAACGGATACAAATTTTTAAATATATTGTGTATGCCTTTATAATGTCCACACTTGCTTTTACAGTTTTCTCATTCATATAAATTGAAGGAATAATTCCTTCAGTGGAGTCAATATTAGCCCAGACTAATAAGGCTCACAGTGGTTAAAAGTGGCTAAGTCCTATTCACAAATGTTCTTCCTTAGGGAAGATTTGAAAGCCAAACCAAAGCCACTGCTATCAATCGCTTCATACTCATGGTGACCCTATAAGTCTGTGCAGAAGCAGGTAGCCTTCTATTTCCCCTTAGCAGTAGCTAATGGGTTAGAGCCATGACCATTCCTATTAAGAGTCAAAAACTATTGAAACTTGGTATGGGAGGTGCACGAAATCTTCTTTATAATTCAGGGTCCATATGAGAGCTAATGCACACTCTTCCTTTTTATTTAGAAAGAGGTCTCATCTTTTGGAATATTAGAATAGTGGGCAATGAAAAATGTGGCTTTACCCCCTCCCCAATATTTCCAGTGGAACATTAATCATGCATATAATGCACACTAACATAAACTTGAGAACCTCTGGTGGCAGAGTGGCTTATGAGTTGGGCTGTTAATCACAAGGTCAGCAGTTCAAAAGATGAGTCTCTCTAATCCCATCAGTATTTACAATCTCAGAAATCCATGCAGGCAACTCTACTTTGTCCTCTAGGACTGGTATGAAAGGAGATTGACTCAGAACAGTGAGTTTGAGTTGTGTTGTGTCGTGTTTTGTTTTGATCTTGTTTTTACATAACCTTGCCTTATTCTTGTGTTGTATTTTATGTGTGTCATATTGAAAGGGGAATTAAATGTATCATTTTGAGTTTAAAGTAGGGCATGTTTATTTTTAAATTGAAAGAAACAAATTAGGAAATAAATATCCCAAAGTGGGACTCTTCTCATCTATACAAACCAATGAGCATTTTTCACTATATACCATCAAGCCATTTACTCTCTTACATATATCCTGTTTGCACATACATATTTTGGAATGAGACTAAATAAGGTGAAAATAAATTGTATGCTCATATTAAGATGTCTGTTTCTAATAACATATTGATGAATCATTTCCGTATAGGAATACCCTATTCATTTTTACCCTATTCCTCCAATCATAGAATTCCACATCAAATGCAAGTGGAAGGAAAATAGACTTCCTTCTGGAACAAGTGACAAGAACTAGCCTATCAAGTGAATTATTTTCTCTTGTATGGTTTGATATTCCCAATTACCCACATGAAATAGATAGAGATAGAGATAGATATGATATCTGCTCCAAAGGGGTGTTGCTGCAGGCTAAAAGTTAGACTGTTGACAATAACACTCCTGGAGAGGAAGTGGAGGCCGTCTGATCTCTTGAAGGTTTACCGCCTTGGAAATTTTTATAGGATTGCTATGAAGTGGAATGCATGGAATGGTAGGGGAGTTCTGTTTTGTTTGTTTTGTTTTATGTTATCATCTGCCTGCTCCTATAGCTTGTTATCAAAGAGGTGCCTCCCTCAGAGGATATTTCCACAAAGAAGTGGCACTCTCCTGTGATGACCTTATGTGGTCAGGAGTGTGAGAATCACTGTCAGATGACTTGAATAAACACTTAAGTAATGACAATCATGCTACATGTGTCTGTGACTGTTGAAAATGGAAAAAAAAAATGTATTGTGGGAAAAGGAAGCTCTTCTTGGTATGGTAAATTGCACTGAAAAGAGAGATTTATAATAGTTGAGTGTTGTTAATTAACATTGATTTTTGTGAGCAGCAATGGGAGAAACTAGATATAATGATGGGAGGCATGTAAAAAGATTTACAAAAAACATTAAAATCTTTCTTATCAAGAAGTAAAATTAAAGAGTAAATGAGGGAATTAACTGGCATGTCAAATGTCAGAGGGATTAGCCAGACGGGACTAAGGCTAGGAAAAAAGGCCTGGTGGTTTTCCTCTGAAAATCACCTAATGGATCTTCCAGGTCACAACAGGGTATTGTCCAACCCACTACTTCAAACACACCATTGGGAGGCATCAAGTGCTAGAGGAGACATCATGTTTGGTGAAGTACAGGGCCAAGGAGGGCGAGGAAGACTCTCTCCGTGAGCTAGGTGGCACAGTAACTACAATTATGAACCAGACCACAAGGGTGGTCATTGGTGACAAGGGACCAGAGAACATTTCATTTTATTATACATCAAATTAGTTGGAGTCAACAGCACAGCACTATCTGTCAATCTAACGAGAAAGGCTATATATGATCTGTGCTTAATAATAAATTCAATATGCCAATGAAAACATTTTGCAAATTGCTCTCCAGGGTGACATGCTGGCCAGTCTGTTGCTGCTACGGGCTCAGAACTGGCAATGATTGCTTACTTTCAATGAATCCATCACTTTCAAAAACACTTCTGTGGTTTTGAGAAAATCCCCTTGATTTTCACCATATAAAATCATTGTTCAATTCAAATCAATAAATTCTACAAATGACATTTCATATTAATATTATTTTCATATTTCATATTCATATTATCATCTTATAATTGGTAACAAAAATCTGCTAAAAACTTTAGATGTGCTTCCTGTACGTTTGGGATAAAGTCAGATCCATACAATTGAATATTTCATGATGCTCTCAAATATTAGAGAGCCATTGGAACTGTTCAAAGACAAGCATTGTTGCAGCTTCAAGTGGTTGGCTGCCTCAAAGTTGATATTCTATGCAGTAATTTTTTCCCAAAATCTAGAGAAAAGCCCTAGTTTTGTTTTGCTCTTTGGAATTCAGAGGTTTTATCAATGTAATCCTTTGATTAGTGAATACAGCTGTTCTTGAATGGTTTCAAAATGGAAAGGATGATTCCTTAGAGAGAGAGGGAAAAAAGATGCAGAAAAGAGCCAGTGTGAAGTATAAAACATGATACTAAGACACTGAACCATGAAAAGTGCAGTTTCCATTACTTAACAGCCCCAGAGACTCATCTTTCAGATGAGTAACAGCTTCTGTTTTTGAATAATACCAACCTCCATCCTTTTTATTCCGCCAACTCCTCTACCTCCGTAATAGGAAGCATCGACAGTTGGCCATTTCTTCGTAGGCATTGGTTCCTCCTCCTCCACCTTGACAGATAGAAATTTGGGAGGGAAAAAA